AAATCTATCAAACTTTGTTGTTTTTTTTGTATACATGTACCATCGTATCAATTGTTAAGTCACTGTTAGTTTAGTGTTAAATCACTGAAATGCAAAAAACACCCGAACCGTTTGGAGCCTATAAAATGACAATTTAGGAATCAGGAAGCTTTGTAGTCACGCAATTTCCCATCAACAAATCTCTGATCGAATATCACGAACCAGTCAAGTATCGTGAGAGGAACGAACGGAAAACGAAGGGACGTTAGTGCCAAACAATGAGTAATTAGTAACAGACACAGACCACATATTTAGAGTACTTTGTTAAAGCTTATGTCATCATCATTTACTTAATATTTTCCCAGACTCGAAAACAAATGACTCAGCTCTTTCCTTCGATAGCGGAACAGAACACGCTGTTTGAAGGCAAATTTGAGACAGATATGGTTAACTCTGGATAGCGTTTAGGACTTGTACAGAATATTGAGAGTATTAGCACCAAATTCAGTTATCCACATGCGTACAAAAGCTACTAATGGAAAAAAAGCAAATATGTAAGTTGTTCAAAGATCCTCCGCGTTTCTAAGGGTTTATCTACAATCAGGTTAAGAATATAATTTAATCTCAATTCACTCGCGCTTGGTATCAGTAAGGTCATGCATGGAGAAATTTATCGCCTGAGTCAGTCCCATTTATCTTTTTGGCTTCTACTGTACCTCCAGCAGCTCTAATGTTTGTGCCTGGGTACATAAACACGATATAAAAACCGAAAGCGATAATCGATTCGATCGACATAAGTCAAATAACTGCTGTTATTTCATTCAGAAGGCGGAGCATTGCCAGTTACAAAAGCATACTTCCTTTACGTAGAAAGCGGCTTATCTGTCAACTCGGTTCAGTGACCTCTAAAACAACAGGCAATTGTTCAACTGAATAAGCTGAAGACGCTCTTGGCATGCCACGTCGTGATGCCCAACAAGCGTAATTTCCTGTCTCACTCATTACTCTTACTTCTACCAACGACGCAAGACGTGCTAAACGCCTGGTTTGCTAGTTCGAAACAAACCTGTAGTCTTCCTAGATGGATACTGGGCAAACAATGACGGGATTCTTTCGGAGCATTGGAATCAAACTTAAATCAGATGGTCTGTTCGTTTATACTCATAAAATGGTAGCCACGCATGTGAACAACTCTGAGGGAAGCCTGTCAATGAAATTGCACGAGGCGCCACAAGTAACAAAGATACGGAAATGAACCAGTAATCAGTCCAAAGAATCAAAGAGAAAAGGATGATTTGAGATTAGGCAAGAAGTTTGAGAAAACTTCGAATTCTTATCTTACGACGACTTCCCTGTTGCGACGCCCCGAACCGATTTTTAACGAAGAATCGACAGATTATCGATTTTGTCTGACGTCACCAAGTGTGGAACATGCGTGAAACGTACCATAATTGAAGAGAAACATGGGCTCTGAGGTAAGAATTTTCCTTCTTTCATTCCTTTAATTAACTTACATTTTGAACTCCTATACGCTCATTTCAAGTACAAATGTTTGCCGGTAGCTAAGAGAAGCTTTACAAACCTATAGACAGCACTACAAACCTTGTTTTGAGTATAGTTCTTTAGCTCAGACTATGAACATGATGACCTTTAACTGTATGTATTGCATTCTCAGATGGATTTCGAGCTCCAGAAACAACTTACGGTTAGTGCTCCGTCATTAAATAAGCTTCTGCTTTCCTTTTTAAGAAACTGCCTCAGAGTGAATACGCATCCTGTTAGCAATAATGTTATTTATTAAGGGTTCTTTACTAAGGTAACGTCCTATGGGTTGAAAAAAGGCTTGAGATAATGTTAAGAAACACTTTCAAAACCAGGATGAACATATATTTAGGTACGAAGCCAATGTTCTAAAGTCGATTTAAAAATAAAGTGAATTGTTTTGCAGGCACAGACATCAAAAATTCGAGACTATGTAACAAGGTAAGAGTTGACGAAGTACCTATGTGAATATCCATCAATGTACCGTTTAATAGGCGTTAGTTAGTCGAGTTCACTATTTTCATGTGCAAATTTTGAAGAGGGTAGAAGCTAATACCCATTATTAACGTTTTGAAGGGTCGAATACCAACAAATCAGCCTTATATGTACTTTGAAAAGAAATTAGGCACAATGAAAGGGATTGGTGTTGGTGGTAATGTTTGGGGTTGATAAGAAGCTTACTGGTTTACTACCTTTGAACCAAACCAAATTTTTCACTCAGATTTTCCATGGCACACTCAATTTTTCCTACTATTTGATAGTATCCCACTTTTAGGGCTATATTATGAATTACACGATTAACAGTTGAAGAGAAGACCTGTAACTTGTTGATCTCCAGGTGATTTTCTCCTCAATCTTTCATGACAACATCGTATCATTTCGATTCACTACACTAATCTTGTGTTTTTTATTTCTTATACTAGTGTCCAAAATCAAATGGTGGAAAAGTCCTCTGTAAGTATTTCATCAATGTCACTGTTTCCTCAAACATGCGGTTCAACCCTCTATGTAACAGTATCCATTCATAACCGTACACAAATCACTATTTCGAAATATTCATCTTTCTTAGTGGGAAATGATTGCAATACGCTACATGGTAATGAAGGATTCCCCACAGAGAAGGTAGGCCAAAATGTTTTTTTAATCATTATTCCTACCTGTATACCCGCTCAGAATCATTTAACTCTCCCCTACTAAAGACCAAATAGTCTCAGCCTCCCTCTTTGGAAGTAAGTTGGGTTGTGGCTCTACCAACACTTGAAAATACTGCATCTGAACACTAACTCGTTCATCAAGTATTGCCTCGCTGTATTACACTTGAGTACCAAATCACTTCATGATGCTGGTTCATAACAAAACGCTGCCTGTAGTTACTGCAACTGGGTATAACATCACTTCTAAACATTCATTTCCTTAAATATATCTAAAATGACTCATTTGTAATACTTTGGAATCAACCCTAAGCTTGAAATGATTTCAGCTGAGTATCAACAGAACCTGTCGGGAAGCACTGCAACTGATAAACAACAAACCAATTCAGGACTCATACGTTTACCAATCAAACCCTTCTCGAAATGACACCACATCTGAGGGGCACCATATCTCTTGGTGACATGTATTTTGGGTCAATGACTCTAGTAGAACCAACAGTCAAGTATCTGAAACTCATCCATGAAACAAAATTCAGTCTAAGAACAACTGAGCACTAACTGACCGGTCACTCTCGCTAATCATGAATACATCAAGTTCATCACATCATGTTCCGTCACAGCTCTACACAAGTACCATAGCTAGCTTTCAGCAAGGGAATATAATATCCTCAATGATACTTAACACAACATGCTTCTACTTTCCACTTCACCTCACCATGAAGAATTCCCTTTACCCTGGTAACAATTCAAGTCCATTAACTATATTCATACTTTTCACAGGTTGGAAGAGAGAATGTTACAAGCCACTATGGTACGTTTCATGCGTGTTCCAATATGGAGTGCTTCATCCACGTGTATATGTTCTCTATGTCAATCACTCTCTGCCTTCCACCTGTATTCAGTTTCTTGAAGTAAATCCCTACTCTGTTGTTGAACTTTACCAAAAAATCAAAACACACCAAGTTTGTTTACCGTTTCTTTTTTAAGAATGAGATGGAGATCATTCGTTACAAAGTTGACATGGCATGAACGTCTACCAATAAAGGTGAGTAGCATAACTTTACTTCAACATCGCTCTTTCTGTGTACATCCCTGTTTCATCAAATGAAGCAATAAATACCAGTAAAAGTTTTATAAAACAACCAAAGATTGTTCTTCTTGTGGACGTCCATCATCAATGAGAGGTAGATGGGATACATCCTACTATGATCTTGTGTTATTTTCATTTGAGGGCTGTGGGAATAACTTTAAGCGCGTAAGTCCACATCACCGACAAGATTCCATGTCGTTTAAGGTATCCTTACTGGAAAAATGTTGAACTATCTCGTTTTCCCTTGTTTTTCCTCTAGCCAACTGTATTCCTTTTAGCCTTTTAGTATTTGATGAAGTCAAATGTCTAAACCATGGTTAAAAGCAATTTCATATGGTTTTCTTAAGGTCAAGCCAGTCTTCTGACAAAGCCTTCTGAAAGACCAAAATTATTGCATTGATTACCCGACAATAAAAATAAAAGTAGACATTTAACATAAACGAGATAAGTACCAGGCTTGATGATTATTTAAATTATATCAATATAATTATAAACACATCGAGCAGCCATCTTATAGTCTCTATAAATAATGACGTTGGCATTAATTTTTGATCATTACTTTCGTATACCGGAGAGGTTGAGACCTAGTAGGGTCCTTGATTTGTTAGGAACACTTTGATTTTCCTGGGAGATTACATTTTAAATAAATCAATACTCAGATTTGAATGTTTTAGACTGACCAAAGTGTCTACGAGGAATAATCTCTATTTTGGTACAATGTTACACAATATTGTGCCTTAATTAAAACCAAAGGATTTCTTTAATCACTCATAGAGTAATATTCCTAATTCTCCTTCGGTGAAATCAGTTCTGATAATGCAAAAATAAATAAATTAACAGTAAGTAAATTGACAAAAAAAAAAAGAATGACAAAGCTTACAGATACATGCTGCAATAAAACAATTCAGCAATAAACATTTTTTCTTTTGTTTCCAAATTTTCCCCTTTCTCTTTTCTTCAGGGACGTCTTTTCATTTCCAAGCGAAGTAGAGCGTGACTGAAACAAAAACATCAAGACATTTAAAGCCATGACAACAATGCTAATATTATGTACCTTGTAAATATTTATTTTTAATGGTTCCTCCCAATTATGGTTTATCAGTTCAAGGAGTTAAGAGATATATACCTGAAAAAGTATAATGTTAAATCATGTATATATATATATTATGAAGTAAAGGAAAGAGCACTTGATATGAGCAAAGATAAATAAAGTACACAAACACATTTAACTGTGTGTTTTCCGTATCTCAACTAACATTAGGGAAATATGTATAACATGACGCAAAGCCACTACCCTGAATTTACTGAATCGAGAGGAGATATGGAAATAACTTTGAGAAGTTTTCGCTTAATATTACCTAGCTACAATGTGATTTCCCATTCACACGTATTTGTTATTCTCTGACCTTGAGAGACTTAAGTCTACACTATTGATAGAATTCAAATACCTTACTCTTCGATGCCCAAGAAGTGATATTCATTGGCATCATTCCCAGGTCAACTGTTTACATGTAAATCGACAAATAGTCAATGAAATCAACCAAGAAAATGATTCAATGGCCAATAAATGGAACACTGATCACTCTCTTAGCCCTTCCCTCAGGATAGAGGTTTATTTTCCCAGTAAGAGGGATTAAGAACCAGTCACGGGATTGTCAGGCTTGAAAAAGAGGAGATTTTTCAGCAGCTTCCGACCATGCAAAAGACAACCCGTTGTAAAAAAGATTGCAACAAAATGCGATTAAAAGTACGAGAAACAAAGAAAAATTAAGATCAGGTTTAGCGGACTTGTTCAAAGAAGGAAAAATATCAAACGGATATTGCAATACTTTCGGCAACCGTAAAGTTTGGGTTCTTGATAGTAAGAGAGTAATTATATGCTTTTCGACTCTGGGAAATCGCTGTTTCAAAGTCCAGAGATTATGTTTAAGAAGTTCCATAGTGCATAATGTACGTTATGTGGGGGAGAGAGGATAGGTTGAAACTAGCTTGATGAGAAGAGGAAGCTTAAAAATTCGTCGATGGGAGAGACAGTGACTGAAATAGTCAAGCTTTTATCGAGGTCAAGCGGAAAAATACTCGATTATATTGATTGTAGCAGTCGACTAATAATAGCTTTATTCACATACCCACACTGAGCGATACCCCGCAGATAAAAGTACGTATTTAACACTAGAAACAACAGTTCTCATATTCAACATATTCTCCTTTGAACTGTATTTTTAAGCAAAACAAAATTTGAGAGATATGTGAGGTAAAATTTCTAAGCAAACCGCTCGATCAAGGGTAGCATGTCCTAGATTGCCAGAGCGCATTTTCCGCTTTTGGGCCAAAAGTTCAAGAATAAAAATAAGACGTTAGTACGGTTTCAAAATTCGATGGTTAAATCATGCGCCGTCTCATGCGGATGACATTTAACCTTGTCATAGAAGGATTCTAATATGTCACCTTCAGACAGGCTTCCAGAACGTTCCATACATTTAATTAGATTGAATTACAAATAACTTTGCAAAGACTTATTTCAACAAATCTCCTAGGAACTGATTCAATACAGATGTATCTAATCACCCTTAGGACTCCTTAGTTCATTATCATCAATTTGACAGTTTGACGATTAGCACTTAGATGCTCTGTAATTATTCACGATTTGTCATTGAGACCTGTGGGCAAGAAATAAGGTTGGTTAAAAAGATAATTTTCTTCCTGCAAACGATTTTCACCCAGCATTGCGTAAGTTTGGTGGGAAGTCTCTGTGGCTCAGCGGTTAGAACATCGGAGCGCGGAATTCGAAGGTCTGAAGTTAGATTACTCATGGGGACTCAGAATTTTTTCTTTGCCCCACGCTCGTGACAAGACGAAAAAGGCATCTTTCTCTAATTTTTTACCGAGCTCAAAACTTACCATCTCTCTTATTTCTATAAACAAACATTACGCTATCGACATTACTGATCCTAGCAGTATGCAGGACATGTGTCATATGGACTTCGTAATAGACCTCGCTCACCGTGGAGACTCTGTGACTCAGTGGTTAGAGCATCGGAGCACGGAGTCCGAAGGTCTGAGGTTCGATTCCTCATAGGGACTCAAAATTTTCTCTTTGTCCCACGCTCGTGACAAGACGAAATAAGCATCCTTCTCTAATTGTAAACATAGTTTACAACTGGAAAGACATCAAAATGCATCGGAACGAACGAGCAAAAGCACAATGAATGGAACTAATGAAAAATAATTTCTTTTGTTTGGTGTAGTTCGGAGAGCATCCGGAGATGGAATGGCAAGAAAACATTGTAAGTATGTCAATTCATCAAGAGTGGGACTTGTGCTACATCGGTGAACTCACAATATTTTTTCTCTCTTTTAGTTTGAGCTACATTATGAGATACTGCTTTCAAGTTACGAACCAGGAGTGATCACACCCTTCCTGCAGTTCAGGTTAAGGTAACCAATCTCCTTTAATTATTCTTCTTGAATTTGTATCAACTGTAACCTTATTAATACACTTAGGAAAAAAGATAGCCAAGTTACATTCCAATGTAACACTCTATAAATTTCTCTTTCAATTAGGAATAACTCAATCCGATGCCTGATAACATCTTTTTGTTCCGACAGCTTGATTTTTGTGCAAGGCTATGCAGGAGTTCATTTGGTAAGGAAATCATTCAACTAATGCTAGGACTGTTTGCTACTGTTAAACCACATATGATATGCTTTACATTCAAAATATGAAAGGTCTAAATACATGTCCAAATTCACGTAAAATAGAGAAGTAGTCATGCTTTACATTGAAGGCTACTAGTTTATCGGTTATACTGTCATGTGTTAACCTCTCTAAGTGAAGTTGTTACTTACTATTTACATTGTTTCTGCTTTAGATTAAAATAAAAAGATCATAACCTTAGCTCGCTTAAAATGATCATAAATGTCACACTTCTACAAAGTACAATCAGGTTAGTTCTTATTTTGGATCAAGAGATACATAACCTCCCCTACTCCAAAAAGCTGAGGACAGGAAATCAGTTCTTAAAGCAAATGTCAGACAAATTTTTTCACTTTCCCTCCCTTATCTGGTAAATAACCAGGCCTGATCATTACAACTCTCCTCTTGCCCTTTATATTCAGTAGGAAGTCAATATATATTACGTCATGTCATTCGTTGAATGAACAAATTCATCAATGGAGAACACAAACCTAACAAAAGGTGTAAATAACAATAAAAACACTAATAATAAAAATGGTTATGCTGAATAAAAAAGGAGAAAACATTAATATTCGCATATAAAGGCTCTTGAAATAATTTTTTTAAAAGCAAGACTGGGTCCTACAACCACAATAATTGCAATCATCATCAATATAAGCCTTGGTTATTGCTTATTAACGACAATTATGTATAATCTTAATGAGTGTAACTGAATCTGAAAATCTAATTCTACAATCAGTGACTAATTTTCTAATTTCATCTGGATACAGACACATAAAGGTTGATATATAAATGAAAAACACTATCAATATGCGTAATCAAGAGCTAATCCCTTCAATGTTTTTATACTGGTAGGTTACAATACAATTTCAAATACTTCAAGTGTACATGTGGGGACCATATGTTGGGATTACGGAAATGTCTCTTGAAATTCACTATTCTCCAAACAGGTGATTATATATCTTGAATATCATTCTTAAACTACTCAGCACAGCATAATATTGAAATGAAAAAGCATAGCGTAAATAATAATAATAATATTAATAATAATATGACTGTATTAATAGTGTTCAATTGAAAACAACAACACAAACTACAAAATACAAAAAACGAAAACAAAAAACACAAAAAACGAAAACAAAAAACACAAAAAACCGAAAAAAGAACAAAAAAAAATGCTAGGAGTCATGTTAAGCTGAGCTCCAGTAAAACTATCATGACAACCAAGATTAACATGAAGCATGATATGGGTACAACTGGGCCCATATAAGGTAAGCAGGTAAGTCACTGAATATTAAGGTGTGTCCTTCACACGAA